TGCGACCCGCCTGCTGGCCCCAGCTAAGCCTCCCTTCGAACCATCCCACTAGTTCTTGAGGACCAAAACAACAACATAAATTTTATTGTTTTCATGGGAGCTATATGATATAGTCGTCCGACTGTAATTCTGAAATATTTAACCATTACTATATGTCGAAGAACTAAAAAAAATTATAAAACAGCAAAGTTATAATTGTTTTCATTTATTTTTCCGATATGGGAGCTATATGATATAGTCGTCCGATTTTAAAGAGATATAAAACGTAATTCTGAAATATTTAACCATTACTATATGTCGATATGTCCGATCGTTTGTATTATCTGCCGGTGTAGAGCTACAGGTCTCTATCCGCAGTCTCTATCCTAGTTCCATATCCATTTCATTTAAGACATATATAAAGTGTGTGATAAAAAACTTTAATCCAGCCACAGTAAAATTATCGGAACTCAATTTTCCCTCCAAAATTGTTATTCACTGTGTTCCCGCTGCGTTCGTTTTAACATACTCCTATACACTCCACTACTCAAATAATTTGTCCGAAAAAATAAATACCCACAACTTCGTTTGCATACATATTTACTGTTATTTTTCAACATTTACATACGTCTGCCTACAATTTCTTCGCACAGTGGTACAAGGGCCAACGATAAATTGAGTTGCCCAATATACGAAATATATTCGTCAATATTTTCCGAAAAGTTCCAACTAACTAGTATAGTTAGATAACGATCCAAAACTCCATCCGTTCGTCGGTGTAATATATACTGTTCAGTTTCCCATTAAATAATTTATTAATTATTTTTGGGTTCGTTCTACAATATGTTATTTCTGTGAGAAATTTTTTGAAAACTTAAATTTATGATTCCTTTAAAATTCATCCACATTCAATTCCAGTGCTGTCTTATAGCCTTACGTATTTTATTTGGTTCCTAAATTCCAAATTTATCCATAAATTCCAGTACCCGTATATCAGTATATATGCCACTTGGTTCCTAAACTTCACAGACTAGTATTTTCAGGGATTGAGAAAAAAAAACAAGTCTAATTTTTCGAGTCCAATCATAAATAAATCTAAATCCGCAATGGCAACCGTCGCTTTAAATAAGTTTATTTCAATGTTCAATCGTCTGAGCCAAATCGAGGCCCGCGTCGAAAATTCATCTGCTGCTATTCTAACCTTATCTACCTGCAAGGTACGCTGCGACTATTGTGGGATAATGAGGAGGAAGCATATGATACATGCTGCCGCAGATACGTTGTCCATCCTCAATTTCAAACACGGTCAAAAATATTCTGTGTATGAAAAGCTTGCCGCTCAGCTCAGAGAACAAATTGAACAGGGCTCTTCCAAATCATCTCACGCAGTTCATTTGAAAAACGTATGTAAATGTTGAAAAATAACAGTAAATATGTTGTGGAGAATTAAAAAATATGTATATGGCTGGGCGTTTGTTTTAAAGAAACACAATTATTTAACCGGGGGGTATTTATTTTTTCGGACAAATTATTTGAGCAGTGGACTGTATAGGAATACTCTATGTATAAAATAAAAACGAACGCAGCGGGAACACAATGAACAAAAATTTTGGAGGGAAAATTGAGTTCCGAAAATTTTACTGTGGCTGGATTAAAGTTTTTTATCACACACTTGATATATGTCTTAAATGAAATGGTTGTGGAATTAGGGTAGAGACTCCGGATAGAGACCTGTAGCTCTACACCGGCAGAAAATACAAACGCTTTCTTGGCGTGAACAAAATGAGTTGAACAATCTCTTAACTTATCAATTTTTTTTTTCCTGGATATTGTAATAGTAGTTAATAATATAGAAATCAGAAAACGATATAATATATCTGCCATAGGAAGGCTCTAATAATTCATCATAGCTTCAATGTTTTTAAAATATACGCATATTATTCGAAATTTAGATATTTAAAAAAATATTTAATTTTTGCAGAAGCTGTAAGGGTATATAAACTTCGGCTTGCGAAAGTATTAAACCCTTCTTGTTTTTTTTTAATTTAAATTTATTTTTTTATATATATTTTTATGTATCTGATCGCTTTTTACATTGGGAAGGTTTGGTGCTTATTGCTGTTAACTCCAGTCTTACATCGGAGATATTTCAGACTGATTAGAATTTCTTAGTGTATAAGTTTCCTTACATGCCTAATCTATTTTTGTAACCGTTTTTATGTACCCCCCTGGGTCTGACATTTAAATTTATGAACATCATTTGTGTGCTACTAAATGTTCCATCTCTACTTTCTGAAAGGGATCATTTGATTGTTTTTGGGAGATTTTAATCTCCCAGATATATCTTGATCATTTCCTACTGACACACTTTGCCGGATCATGACTTTGTTTATGGACTTCTAGACCTATCATTACAATAGCTTTATCCATAACTCTTTGAGTAGGCAATTTAAGGCGAGGAACCGGGCTTTTGTTTTGGATCCGTCCGAGGTCGTTGTATCTAGAATCGACCCTCTAGTTGTCCCAGAGGGCCGATACCATCCCACAATAGAATTCACATTTTCCCAGCCGTGCCATGATACCTATTCTTATTTAGTTTAACAAACTAAAACGATATGCTTCCGTAAATGTGACTTTAATAAGCTAAACTACTTGATTTCCGAAAGCAACTTGACAAAGTGAAACTGAATTATTCTATAAAGTTTTTAACACGTTATTTATTGAATACGTTTCTGACAGTCTTCCTCCAAGACATAACAGACCTTCGTGCTTTACACAAGAGCTTCAAAGACTTAAAACCCTAAAAACAAACTTTTACAATAAGTACAAAAGGATGGGCAAGCCATCTGATTTTTTAAAATATGTGGTTGCTCTATTGGATTTTATTGTTCTTAACAGTCAATGCTAGTGTATGTATTTGAACCGGTGTAAAACCGTATTTTCAAATTATCCGAAGCAACTTTATAACTTTGTAAATGTTTGTAAACTCTGTAAATGTCAAATCAAAAGACTTTGCCTTGCCTTCAATAGTACAATTAAACTGGGTGCGTGCTTAGGTTTTATGCCTCAACAATTTGTAAACCGATTCTTAAACTGTTTCAATTGTCTACCTCAAAATCAGTTCCTTTCTTGAAAATATTTTTTTTACCACTCCATAAAACAAGAAAGTCGGATGATTTTAAAATTATAGAGATATTTCTAAATTGTATGCAAAGCAGAGCGATTTATTACTTCTCATTTGCAACATTTGCGTTCCTCACTAATATTATCTTATCAACATGGTTTTGTTAAGCGAACCTACTTGAATTGACATCTATTATAGTTAAAGTATTTAATCATAAAATGCAGACTGATACAGATTTTAGTAAGGTTTTTGATTCTGTTAACCATTTTCTTCTTTTATTTCAATTAGATAAGCTCGGGTTTTCGAATAATCTTTTAACTTGGATTTCAAGTTATTTGAATGAAAGAACTCAGAGCGCCATTTTTAAAAACGCGGATTCCAATGTGATAAACGTAACATCTGGAGTACCTCAGGGTAGTCATTTGGGTTTATTAATATTTACTTTTTTCATCATTGATCTTCCTTCTGACATAACACATTCTCGAGTATTAATTTACGCTGATAATGTTAAAATATGTTTGTGCTAAAATAATTTGCGTTCGGGTTTCGGTTTTCACTCTGATTTTGATTGTTTGTTCCTTATACAACTAAATTAGTATTTACTTCCCTTGTCCGTCCTAATTTAGAATATTGCGCTTCTGTTTGGTATTGAGTCGGTACAAAAATAAATTCTTCTTTTCGCCCTTCGTGGTTTGAACTGGGATCAAACGTAAGGTTGCCTTCTTGCTCTAGTAGATTACTATTGCTTACTTTACCTTCTCTGGTAAATCATAGAAGGCTTGGAACTATTTTTATGCACAACTTGTAAGAGGTGATATTGAGTCCATAGAATTGGTAAGCCGCTCAACTTTAAATGTGCCTTTCAGACCAATCCGCAACTACCATCCTCTGAACTTTGGCCTGCATGAACTTTCTTTTTCTTTGTAATAATTATAATAATCTATATAGTCAAATTTGCATTTCAACATCTATCCATGTCTTAAAAACGCGTAACAAGCTCGTGCTATGTTTCGTTGAGCCACATGTTTGTACCCCTTTTAGTGCACCAACGTCCATTTTGTTATTTTACATTTTTTTGAAAAAGTCAACTCGATAGTAACATCTTAATCAATGAAGAATTTATTTGATTTCTTTTCCGTTCTCTAAAAGGTTTGTAACCATGTCAACCAGGATTTTTTTGAAGACCCCACTCTCGGCGAATTTTGTTTCGTATTTTTTGTTGGTTTTTTTGTTTATATTCTTTAAATGTCAATAAAAAACATATACAAAAATGTTTAGTTAAAATATTTTTCGTTATTTTTTATCTGACTTGAAAAGAATGAACAAAATTCTCCTTAAAACAGTTTAGATGGCTCTTTTGTGGGACGCTAGAGATAACATCAACAAGGTTAGAAATATAAATTTTAATTAGGACTCTTTGTGTCCTGCCCCTTACATAGCCTAAAACTCATCTTAGGAGCCAAACCTTATTTTATTTTTTAAATAAAAAAAACACAAAAAAAATTTTTCTTAAGCTCTTAAAGGATTACCTTTTGCTTTATGTATATAAAATATGTAATAAATTTTAAAATTGTTTTGATACCTTTGCGCAAGAATATTCACCGTTTCCACAAATGGCATTTGGACTTTAAGTTTTTACTACTCGAAAGTAAAAAAAAACGCTGCTCGAATTGCTTCAACCAATGTAACTTCTTCAGTTTAACTCCAATTAACTTGGTATTTGTAGACTAAAAAAAAATATAACACAAAATAACAAAATTTTAAATCAGCCCAATTTGAATTTTGGATGGACCTTTAATGCCATTGTCAGGAATTTCTGACAAAATTTCTTAGCCTTAATTTATATTTAAGAACAACACTTTACAACATAAATACATTTTTATTTATGCCATTATAGGGTTCTTACGGTCTCGTAAAGTTGGCTTATTCCGAAGAAGACTCAACACATTACGCTATGAAAATTCTTTCGAAAAAGCGCCTCTTACGGCAAGCTGGACTTATGCGCCGGGGTCCCAGGAAAGCAACATCACCGTTAGATCGGGTTTACAGAGAAATAGCAGTTTTAAAAAAACTTGACCATCCCCACGTTGTAAAGCTGGTTGAAGTGTTGGATGACCCACTTGAGGATTCACTTTATATGGTTTTTGAATTGGTAAAGCAAGGTGAAGTTCTAAGAATTCCAACAGATAAGCCGTTATCTGAAAAAAGAGCTTGGTGTATATTTCGGGAATCTTTACTTGGATTGGAATATTGTAAGTAAAAAAGTGTTATATTAATATTTTTCCTAACTCTGGCAAAGCGCATTTTTTATAAAATGATATTCTATTCAAAAGCCTAGTACTTAAGACGAAAAATACTTTCGCCAGCGGAAGAATTAAAATCTTTCTAGTGTTTTAAGAGTTCATCCTAACATGTGTATTATTGTCAGTCAGCTGGGCTTATTGACAACAGAAAACAAATTAATTTTATCCCCATTTTCAAACCGGATTGTTATACCCCTGCAGAGGGTATTATAATTTCCGTCTGAAGTTTGCAACGCATTGAAGAAGACATCTCCGACCCTATAAAATATATATATATATAAAATATATATGGGACGTTTCACGCCAACCGGCCCAGAGCTCTGCCCAAAAATTTTACTGAACGAAAATTATAGCTAAAAATTTTCATCAATTCATACCCTTTCGAATGAAAAGTGGCGTTTTGAAAAATTCAAAATGGCGTCCTTTCTGTGACTCTAAATGCACAAGTATTTGTGGACTTAGCAAACAAATATATTAAATACTTTATGAAAAACAGTATATCTCGATGGATAATGACTGATTCTTATAGTTTTGAGGTTGGTGATTACGAATTTGAAGTCAGATTTTTAAAATTCAAAATGGCGGATCCAATATGGCGGATCAATTTTTTAAAAGTTAATGAATTCACTTGAAATTCATAACTCGGGGGTTTTTGGAGTCGCTCATTACGAATTTGAAGTCAGATTTTTAAAGTTCAAAATGGCAAAGCCAATATGGCGGATCAATTTTTTTTTTTTTTTTTTTTTTGCATAGGATGTGAAAACCTGCTCTCAGGTACCCTGTAGCCATGCTTCAGGGTTATGCGGGGATGGCGATGTGGCAAAAACGCACTACAAAAGTATCCAATAATTTTATTACAATAAAAAGCAGCATGAAAGAGTTCAGCGATCTCTGTCAAAAAGATTTTCACCAGCATCTGCTGTGATTAAAATTCAAAATTCTCGTTTTTTTAAAGTTCCTTCGGAAAAAAATTAGAAATATACAGGTATTCAAATGCACCAAAACCAACTGCAGTTATCCAATACCAGTGTATTCGAAAGGGTATGATTGACGAAAATTGTAAGCTATAATAAGTCAATTTTCGTTCAGTAGAATTTTTGGCAGAGCTCTGGGCCGGTTGACGTGAAACGTCCATCCGGTTGTGCGCAAAAAAGTCTATCAGTTTTAAAGTCATCTGCATGATTCTTTCCCAAAAGTTGTCTTCCGGTTGCTCGTTTACATGTGTTTGACCAATATGCTAGTAATTTTTTTTAAGCACAAGATGACTTGATGAGTTTTGCGTTGATTTTGCAGTATCATCAACAAATGATGATGTTGTAAGTATTAGTGTCGGCAGATCTGCTGTGTAAATGTTATGCAGTTACTACCTTGGGGTACTCCAGCTTCAACTGGATGAGATTCAGAAATAAAATCCTTGTATCGTACTGCGAAACTGCTTTTTTGTAGATATTTTTTTGGTGTTCTGTGGAAGTTTTTTTTTTAATTTTATGAATAAAGCCGTACAACCTAACGCATTCAAATGCTTGGGAGACATCCAAAATAAACAGCGGAGCAATACTCTCGACGTTCAAATGCATTTCGTATCTCCGAGGTTCAATGGTTCCGTGTTTTTCGAAAAAACCAAATTGGTGCATTATAATGGCAATATAGGCCTCTAGGTATTGCTTGATACGATTTAGGAGCAGCTCTTCAAATATCTTTGATAGCCGAATCTCCTGTCAGGCTATTTATGGGTCACTTTCGTCAAAGCCTTCTCTTATTGCGTAGCAGTTATTTAACATGCCTAGAAGCACGACTGCTGTTGGAAGGTTTATAAGCAGTTATAAAGTTTAACGCTTATAACGCTTATACTGATCAATGTCTCCTTTACAGGAACTGTTCGGACAGCCTTTATGCGTTTTGCATTATAGCTGCTACAAAGCGGTCACCTAACAGGTAAATTTAACAAATTCTGCTTCGGAAATGGAGAAACGCGGTCAATACCGTCAAGGTATTGATGTGTAAATAGGCTGTAGCCAACAATGACAATTGATAATGCCTGATGCGATTCTTATTCAGAATGCCAGTACCTCATCAGGATGATTTGTCGCATACAATAATTTTTAATTAATTTTTGAATCTTGATAAAATGTCTGTTTCTGCATTATTTCTGCAGTAGTTTGGTGAAGCGTAGGCTTAGAGGCTGAGTTGCTTAGAGGCTTGTTGTAACTCCTGAGCAAAAGAAACTCCCGGGGTTGATGGTATATTCAAAAAGTTTTGTCGTGGGACTGGGTTTTGAGATGCAATTATTTGTTGGCTTTGGCGAGTGTTTAGCTCTCTATCGACAGTGCACCCTTTATAGTGGCAGTGGGGTTTCGCCCACAGTTGTTACAAATAATAAAATTTATCAGAACGCATTACTGTTAAGCTATCAGCTTTTTATGTCAGCTGTTGCTGCTGCGTAAATCGAGCGCTGTCAAATCGTTTTTTTATCCTCAAAGTCTAAGCTTCAAAAAGTGTCAAATATAGATATTCTAGTGAAGCTATTAGGATATTCGGCTAGAACAATAAATATGCAGCATATAAAATATTCATCAAAAAGAAGTTCTTACCGATTTTTTAATCTTTTTTAGCACTATTTCTGTATTTGTTTTAAATAAAACTTGGGAAAAAAACAAAAACTGCGATTTCATGGAAGAAAAGGGAGGCCCACGACCATTTTTTTCTTTCAAAAGTGTAATATTTTACCAATGTCTTTACAATAAAAAACAAAAATGTTTAATCTCCAATTCCCACGGTGCAGACGTGTAAATAATTTGCCACGAAGACTGTTGCCGAAGTGCCACCGAAATATATCGGAAACAATAAAAAACCTTTGTTTTTCATTTTTCACCAAAAAAAAACCTTGACCTCGAGCCAGCAAAACTTTAAATTAATAAACAAAAACAATAAACAAATTTAATATTAACCAAAAATTAACCATTTGAATCAAAGTATCTTCCTTCCTGTATTATAAACTTAAATTAAAAAATGTTGCTTCGTTCAAGAGTTATTAATTAATGCCACAAAAAATGATCGTTGGCGCCATAGTGCATTTGGTTGGGCCATTTTATTTGTATTTGTTATGTTCTTAGCTATTTGAACATTAAAGCCCTTTTCATGAAGTCCAGCTATTATCTCGTCGATAGCAACTGTTGATTCGATTCCTTTGATAATTACTTGTAGTCCTTTTTAGTTGGTAGGTGTAGTAACTTATTTTTCCGGTGTCGAGTTACTTGGTCAGTGATCGATGATCTTGTTCGTCATTTACTTGCCTTTTGTCCCACTTATGTTACCCCTTATTATACCTTTGCAGTGCGTATTATTATTTTAGTCAGAAGCTTGCAACTCAGTGAAGAAGGCATTTCCGACCTTCTATAGAATACATATTCTTGAGCAGCATCTCTACGAGAGTCGATCTAGCCAAGTCCGTCTGTCCGACCGTCTGTCAGTCTGTGCGTCCATTTCTGCGTCCGTTTCTACGCAAACTAAAGCTATCTGCATAAAACTTTCCCAAAATTTTTCCTTCAGTTGCTGGACGTAATGAGCCGTTTCGGACTACTATATCGTATTGCTCCCATAAAAAACAAACAACTTCAACATATAGCTGCCATGAAAACAAACTAAATATTAATACAAAAATAAATGAAAACAAAAATGTAACTTTTTTATTTTTTTAATTTTTTAAAAAATTGTTTAATTGCGCTTTAATTTTATCAAAATCAGAAAGCAATAAAATTAATAAATGAGCTGAAAATCATCATAGCTTCAATGTTTTTAAACATACACGCGAATAAATCAAAATTTAGATGTTGTAAAGAACATCTAATTCGTTTAATAGCTGCAAGGGTATATAAACTTTGGCTTGCCGATGTTTGCTTCCTTTCTTGTTATAGACGAGACATTTATTTAAGCAAATTTGGTCTGTTATTTTTTGACCACTTCAGCACAATTTGCCTGACGAACATAAATAGACTTAAGTGGACTTAGTTGTTTGAGTGGAATCATTTTTTTTGTTTGTGTCACTAGGAATCGAGAATCTATGTTTTGTCTGCGCATTATTTGACACAGTGATACTTTGTAAATATTTTTTTGCATTGAATAATCGGGTTGATATTTTTAAAATATTTTTTTTATTATCCAGAAAGACTTTCTCTTCCTAGAATGGAAGTTAAAGAAATCGATAACATATGGTTGCAGCATGACGGAACTTCGTGCTACACAGCCAACGTTGCCACTATACTTTTCTAAATCGAAAAATAGGCCGAAAAATCGGGTCTGTTAATTGGCCTTCTGCAAGCGCTCCCGGGACAGCCATACAAATGAACACACAAATTAAGCGTAATGTTAGGACTATTCAATAAAAAAAAATTTATGAAAATATCAACTCTTTTTAATCAAAGTGAATTTTAGATGGTTGGCAACGCTATGCAAATCGTTAGAAAAAATCCCTGACTCTCACTCTCTCATAGCTAATAAACGGACTTTGTTAATCCGAGTACTTGTCCGTCCGTTTCTACGCAAACTAATCTCTCAGTTTTAAAGCTATCTGCATGAATCTTTCCCAAAAGTTGTATTCCTGTTGCAGGTAGTATATATATAGCTATAGCATATAGCTCCCATATAGCTTTTGAATTGATAAGCTGAGTCAATCTTGAAGTTTATCAACAGATTTGGATAATAAAAACCTATCTTTGGAATATAAAGGTTGGAATCAGTTGAGTGAGACTAGAAGTGGTTAGGTAAGTTAAAATCACCAACGGATGTGAGTTGATTTTTTTCACCAACTTCAGTGATTATTCAATGTATGTATATACCTTGATTTTTTTTTTTTAACGCAAAGTCAATTGCGATTACGGAGTCTAAAATATGAACTTAAAATCTATAAATATAACGATTAATCTTAAAATTTAATGTAGATACAGCAGATA